CACTGTGCTGTAATTGCATAAGCTGTTTTCGTCGATTGTCTCTTCATCTCATTTTCCCGTGCAATTTGTTTCCCCGACTTAGTCCGTCAATTTTTTATCTGTTTTCTGCTGTAAGGAATTCATTCGAGGATTATCACTTGAACAGGGACGATGCCATTGAAGCGGCCGTTTAGTGGTGTGATTCTCAGGATAAATCATTCTACAAGATTACTGTAAGTAAATTGCGGCACAAAATGTACGAGTGCATTGATATAAGAGATGATTATGTAGAGAAATCATAGTGAGAAACTATAGTTCTAACTCTCCCTTCGCTGAATACATTCGTGAATAAATGTGAATAAAACTCGCATTTCATATTGTTAAATAAGTATAAATAAATTTTATTTCAGTGAAAGTTTTAAATGTTCGAGAAATTATTTTAAACTTCAGCAGTGGTTTTTAGTTAAATCCAGCCAAGTAAAATAGGAGAATTTTATCCAAAGAATGTACTCCAGTTATCGGATTGTTTTGCTTCTAGATGGACTTTTTGTCTCCTGCGTCTCGCACCATTACTGTTTAGAACCCAATTAATGTACTATCATAATTGCTCTATGTCACTATTACCGTTTTTTCGTTGTGATGCTTGCGTTATCAGCTCTCAGATTTTAAAAGCTGCATACCGATTTAATATTCTTCTTCTCTATCTCTTTTAAGCTTATGAGTAAATTGTTTCTCTTCCCTACTGTTAGAAAATAAACCTTAGAAATTTATCATCTTATAGTTAGAGAGTTGAATATTTAGCCATTTTTGCCGTTATCAGAAAACCTCCATGTGTGCTCACAAGTACTGCACTGCAAATGTTTTCTGTTTGTTTTGAACTATATTAATCATATCACATTCTTCATTTTAATGTTATCTTTTGGGTTTCATGTCCTGTTTGGTATAATTTAATAGATTTTTAGAAGCCAAGGAACGCTAAAAATATTCCTCATGTAAATTAGTCACTATTTTTCTTCGCCTTAACTCCATTTCTGCTTGTAAATATTTTCATATTCGTCAAATGGGGATAACGTTCCCATGAACATGAGAACAACATTATCGTAGTTTTAATACAATGCGTTTTAACGTGCTAAGTTAATTCGGACCCCTAATCTATATCTTTGAGTGTCAAGAGTCGAGAGAAATATCTCGTGCCTGATTTTATGATTTTATTTACTTTAACTGCTTTTAAGGACAGAATTCTAAGGAGAAAAAGCTTGAAAAATGATTCAATAAAATGCAATGAAATTTTAATATTTCTGAATATTTTAATTCATTTCGCTATATATGCTTTAACCCTTTGACTGCTAGCTGCTCTAAGTTGAAGCACTTCGCGTGAGAGGCGTCCGGCTGCAGAATAACTGACCAAATAAATGAGATTCCATTTTTTCTCGTTGCTAAACAACGAACGAGATGTGAGGTTTCTGCGAGCGTTGGACATATACGATAGAAATAATTTCCGAACATAAACAGCGAAAGCTTTCGCCGAACGCGCATTTGTGTCCATTGGTTATACCGCCGGATGCACATTATTTATCCATAGGCCACACCGATGGTTTTTGCTGGACGCACATATGCGCCCATAGCAGTCAAAGGTTTAATACCCGCCGAGATTCACTAATTGCTTATCGAATTAAATCTTCGCGGTGATTTTCTCTATTGAGCTGATGTGCAAAAAAAAAAAAAAAAAAAAAAAAAAGGCCTTTCCACCTTCATTATAGGAAAATAATCAGGAAGTCATCGTGCATTTAGAGGGGTGAATTATATAACCGTCTGATGTGAAAAATGCCTAAAACAGTGAAGGAATTTGATTGTTTATTCTTCCTTGTATTAGCAAATTAATTCTTTAAAGTTTTTAATTCCCCTGCTTTCTAGGTTGAGTAATCGGAAAACTGGGTTTTCCAGTCAATAAGCGAAATAGTAGAATTTAGCGTAAATCTTAGTTTAAATATTTAAAGTTTTGTAGCTTCTACCCATTATAGAAGATATATTAAGCCGTCTTTCTTGTCTTTTCTTTCTTTCTTTGTTAATTTAGACTGTACTTTCATTATATAAAGAAAGACTGCTGGAGAATAGTCGGATCACCGTGTGCGAGGACTGCGCCGAGAAACATTAGCTAATCCGCATGAACACATATCCTGAGTGAGTGAGTGAATGAATGAATGAATGCATTAACGAGGATGAGGAGGGAATTTCTACGCGAAGGATACATTACATGCCGAAAGATGTAACGGTTATGTTCTTCGTGAGTTCAATGGCCCTGTTATTCAGTCATCTGGTACCCCGTTCTCACCCCTCCCCTCTATACACCATTATAGCCTAACTGAAAAGAAAATGTTTTGCTTATATAGCTGGCGTTTGAATGCGCTAACGTTGCTTTGCGGTTCGTTTTTTTTTTATATATATGCATGTTTTCTAAAACGAAAATAATGAAATGAGTCATTATTTTGGAGGATCATTTAGTTTATGTTCAATATTATGCTAAAAAACAGGTTAAACCAACCACAATTTCAGAAATGAAGGAAGGGAGGATTTTGATGTCAGTTTTTGTTTGGTTATACTGAGTGTATGAAGTAAAATATTTTTCATCTAAAGATAAGATTTTTATCTTTTTGGTCAGCGTTAATTTTTTTTTAATGTCTTTTTTTTTTTTTTTTAATGACGAGAATGAAAGGGAAGTATAGAGGAAGCACAGAGATAAAATTGTAATGCTGCGTGGTCATGGTATTATTAAATAAATCGCTAGTGCGAAATATGGAGAAAACTTCTTTTTCCTTCTCACCCCGCATCTATTTTTTTTCGTTAAAAGTTACCACAAATAAACGTGAAAGTCATGTATACACTTAGTTCATAATGCTACCAATTAAAGAGCGTAATAGCTGAAAACGTACCTTTCCTTAGGAAGGTAATCTTTGTTTAAGCCACCGTAATTATTTACCTCTGTCACAATTAGTCATATATGTGTATAGAGTTGGATGTTCAGTTTAATTTTCATTTATCAGTAATGTGATGGAAATTTATATTTTGCAGAAATATTTTTTTTAAATGTGAGTTGTTCTTGTTATATTGTAATTTATGATTTTAAACTTATCAGAAAGTTATAAATGATAATAAAAATAGCTTTTCATGGTGAAAACGTTGATTAATGATGTATTAAGTTGCGATCATGTTTTTCATTTATTGAATTTCATTGTGTTTTAAAAGATTACTATAATAATGCTTTCCAAATCATTCAGTCGTTGGATGTTTTCACTCACTTTATTGATATAGTATGTCAGCTTTGTTGCATAATAAGCGTTTCTTATCATTTTTTCAGCTTCTTTAAGTTAAAACCATGGTTCTCAATCTTTTTACCTTTGTTTCTATTGGCAGCTATTGCCATAAAATATACCTTTTAGCTTAGAAAATTGCTTGCAGTTTTATTAATTATTAATGACAACTATTTTAGATATATACGATTTAAGTGTACACTGCGTGGAGGGGGGGGGGAAGGATCTCCCGTTCTACTGGGCCAATTGACAAAATTCAAATTGCGTTTTTCCTGTCTCGAAACCGCGCCTTAGAATATATTTTAGATTTATATACAGCATTGTTCTAACATACGTATTTTGATACAAAATCGGACGTTTTTCTGAAATAACATACCAATTTTTTTTACAATATTTCGATTCTACGACTCAAATTATGCCTAGATACTAAATTTTGTAAAATTTAATGCGAAATTTATAGAGAAATTCAAAAATTTATCTTGGCGGAATTTTTTCAGTTTGAGCCAAGAATAATTCACTTGGCAAACTTCTTAATATATGCCAACCGATTTTCCTTTCCCTTACATTATGTCGGACCGAAGAAAAAGTCACTTCGTTCCTACCTTTTAACATTGTGCATGAGCGGGGGGAAAAGTCGCATCGTTCCTATATTCAAATAATTATAGCAAAATGTCTAAACCACATTTGATGTTTTATCGCTTTCAACAAATATGCCAAATTTCAAACCGCGCCAATATATAAATTCACGTATATCTTCGGAAATTTTGAATAAAAAACTACAGTAAGATGATGGTAAAAAGTTTGTAAATTATAATTCAAATTTTTTTTGAAAAATTTAAAAAAATTATTTAAAAAATACAAATTTAAAAAATAAATCATAAAAATTTGGTGAATTTTATTTGGAATGAACCTGAATTTCGAAATGTGAAAGGAAGAATCAAATAAGTTTAATGAAAAAAGAGAAATTAATAAATATATACCAAACTCAATTAACATTGATGAGCTAAAATTTTGAGGGCTAATTTTTTAAAAACTACTCGTGCGATCGTAATTTGAGCCGTAGAACGTAAATATGGAAAATAAAATGGTTTGTATTTTAGAAAAAGTCCGATTTTGTGTCAAAATACCTATATTAGAACAATGCTATATATAAATCTAATACATATCCTAAGTCGCGCTTTCAAGACATGAGAAACGCAAGTTGAATTTCGACAATCGGCCCAGTAGAACGAGAGATATAGAACTGTCCCCCCTTTTTTTTCGCAGTGTACATAAAGACATTATTAAAAATTGACATTAAAAACATATAATTGACGTTAAAAATTAATATTATTGACATTAAAAATTGATAGCAAACTGAAGTGCTAAAGTGGTAAGTGTAGTTTGCTGTTAAGTTCTGGATACTCGTACTGACATGATAATGCTTAAAGTGCAGTAATTTAATGTTGTGATATAAACAAATACATGTTTTGGCAGTTATGCTTTAGTGTATGTTTCATTTATATGAATTCTCTGCACAATGTATTGTCAAGTGACCCCTGTCAGTCTGTTAAAGCCAGTTGGCAGCTTTATTTTAATTATATATTAATGTGCGTGTAACTTCTGCAATTGTCAGCATTAATATCCTTTTTAATTAGTGTAAAAAATTAGCCAATGAAATTTTAATATTCTCATCTACTTATTTCACTGAACTCATGGAATTTTATTTTTCAGGTGGTGCTGATAGCAACAAAGGGAAAAGCAAAAAATGGAAAAAAATTCTACAGTTTCCTCATATTTCACACTGTATAGATCTAAAGAACAAAATAGGTAATATTTTATGCCCTTTTAATATTACACTTTGAAATGGAGACACATTTTGGGTATATAAATATTTTTTGATAAAGTAGTAAAAATGTAATTCTTTTAAAATGGGAGCTTTTGTAAGAAGATAAGTTCCTAAATTAACTGATTCCCTTAGTGGTCTTTTTAATATTACATTTGAAAACAAAGGAATATTTTGGGTATAATAATGCTTTTTCATAAAGTACTAAAAATATAATTCTTTTAAAGTGGGAGGTTTCATAAGAAGATACGTTCCTAAATTAATAGATTCCATTAGTGTCCAAATGGATAAGATTGCTGGATATTAGTAATTTATCTGAGTTAGGTTGCCAGTGACAAGGTATCTGCATGAAATTCTTGGTTTTTCTAATGTGTGATGCGAGTTCCCTTAGAAAGTTCTCTATGGAGGCATCCCTCACTTAAGACCAGTATAGTGTATGAAGACACGGGATCTCATTTTGTTTATCACAGTGATTACAATATGTCATCAAAGTTATCAAGATATTTAATAATGTTTAATGGTCTTTTTTTGAATATTTTGTATCAAAATTTCACAATCAGTTTACCTTCTAGAATTTTATTATTGAAAAGTATCAGGCTGTTCATAGAAAATGTCAAATATAAGACAATACTAAATTTAATGATATTATTTCAAAATACTGAAAAAGTTTGTGTGATGTTTCCTAACCAGCTATAAATTTATAACTACTGCTATGCAAGCTCACTGTCTTATTTATGGTAGGTAGTCTCAAATGTCTGGTCCTACAGCAAAAGTATAACAGAAAAGGCCTTCTTGAATTTGTTTAATTTATCAGTGATAATATATTTTCAAGCTGACATTTATTTCCTTCTAAATGTATTCTAATTTGATATACCTGTAAATTTCACAGAATATAATTTAGCAAGAGAATATGAATCCCTCCTTCAAAAAATGTATTTCTGTCCTGAGAAATGCTGCAAGATTTTGAGATTTAAGAATGTTTGGAATGAAACTGTTGAAATTTTTAATTCTGTATTCAACTGATAAATTAACTAATAAATTAAAGCCAATGGTTTTTCTGTTTCCTCAGATTTTTCTCATGGGGGCAGATTTAGCATCTGATGTGCAGTAAATATGCTGAAGATGATAGCAATGACATAAATGTGTATTTACTAGTAATGCTGATGTTTCTTAACACCATTTCTTTCCATCATGTGTAAATGTATTTACTTACTATTAGTTTCTGCATTTTAGAATAGTGGTAGATTACAATGATCATTTCATGCACATTTTATAATCAATAACTTTTCTTTTGATACTGTACAGAAACAATTTAAATAACATAGTATAGAATAGTAAGCTAAGTACGTTAAAGTAAGCTCTTTGTTAAATAGCACACGATGAAACTTTTTGTTTTGTTATGAATTTCTTTGTTATTATATGCACAGAAAATATAAGCAAAGAGAATAGAATATACTTAAATTTAATAAAGAATAAAAAATAATTTACAACATTCATTTATTGAGATAATCTAATAGACATACATAACAGCAATATTTTGAAAAACGTGAATTACACAGAAGGAAGGTATTTGGAAGAAAGGTACCAAACGACAAGTAATAAAACTGCAATTTGCAATCAGTAAAAAAATATTTAGTGTTTTTTAATATTACACACTTAAATATAGCATATTTATAGATTACAATATTTCATAGTAATCCTAATGTTTCCTTAACACTATTTTTTCGATCATGTGCAGAAAGTCCGAAAACCAACCTGTTCGTTTAATGTGAATGATATACGATATAGCACTTAGGACGTTATAACTGAATCTGTGTATCCAAATACTGCACCGCTGGATCACTGAAGACTGGAGAACACCACCATGTAAGATTAATCACCAGAAACATAAAACACCAAAACAGAACACTATTTCACTGTAGGACAGTTTTAGCGCATTGCATTGTAGAGCAGATATTCACAAACAAAATAAGCAGAAATTCGGTATTATCACCATGATATCTCCTCAATTCAAAATAAACTGCCATCATTATATTCTTTTCCATCATTCTCTTGCTGTATTGAAGCTCTCCAGTATTTAATTCCGACAGTGAATTACAAAACGGTGAAGAGAGTATTTATGAAAATAAAATGGAGTCTGAAATTATTGCGGCGTTAACTAACTTGTTCAAATTTGGCAGCTAAGCCAAAGCATGCAAGCCTCGACCTATGATGTTCGTTTATATAATCATCCAGTAAATAATGTGTACATGGAATGTCAATCTCTCAAACAGCAGTTCAGTCTAAACTTTTCAGTGGTTTATACAATGGCATTAAATATTTCAATGGTTCTTCTGATAATTTAATACAATTTTTTTAAATGGCATAGAAGAATTTTTTCAACTGAATAGAATTACGAACAATGTTCACAAGATTATATTTTCAAAAAAATATTTATCGGCCTTGCTAAAATATCTGTAATGTCAATATCGCCAAATCCCGAGTGTACCGTATACTAGGATTAAATCAAGCATTTTTAAATGCATGGAGATGGACGAAAACGTAACAAACAGTTCATCAGAACTTCTATAGGTAATGAATTTCGTATTTTTGTTCACAGTTTCTCTAATTTTGATGTCAACATTTATTAGTAATTTATCAAAGCCATTAATTTTGTCTTTTTCCATTAAAAGTGTTAATATTTCTTTCTCCTTTTCCATTAATTTTCTGTCAGATATTTTGGACAGCCGTTAAATATGCATGGATATGCAACACAACATCTTTTAACATTGGACAGTTTCTCGGAATTCTTAAAATCGCCTCATTTATAATCGTGAATACATCTTCATGCTCAATCATATCTTCGTGAAAATTGTACTCTTTGCTCTATATGTGGTAAAAATGTTTCATATTATATCAGCATATTAATTCCAATAAATTCGTCCTTACTTCAAAAATAAAGTGATATTTCAGCAGTAAAATAATTGCTAACATGTGATTTGCATTGATTTCGGAATATGATTTTTTAAAATATATAAAATGCATAACTTACTTTATAGATTAGTTTCATTTTTAAATATTCTGCTATAATATTTATAAAAATATTTTAAGTACAGTCAAAAGTCATTAATTCGGACACCTATAATACGGAATGATCTATAATCCGGACCTCAAAGCTACAAACTTTCTGCGCATGCGTGCATAGGCATTTACGCGTGTGCGTAAGACCTTTACGGCTGCGAATATGCTTGTGCGCATATGCATAATATGTTTACGCATGCATGTTTAACGTATAACGAACGGTATAAGCTAAGCTAAAATTATCTAATTTAGTTAATGTTGCAGATTGCATTGTTCCTTAATCTTCGAATTGGATCCGGCTTATTATTTTTTGCAGACTGTTAGAGCAATTTTATAAAAGTAAGCTTGAACTTTTGATTATGAATTTCCAATATATATTTACTAATATGTAAAATATCTACAAAGCAAAAGTATGTTTCGAAATCCAAAATCTGTTTATCAATTTCATGCAGCTCTATGGTGGTGGTGGTGGTGGGGGGGAATGAATTGGAAGTTGATCTGTCAGCACTATCCTTATGTTCAGGGCAGATGCTTTTACTTTAATTGGCTTATAATTCCTTACTAAATGTAGCATTTCATCTCCATGTACTCCGTCTTTGATATGATTTAAATCAAGTTCCTCGTCATTATAATTTGCTTTCGATAGTGAAGAAAGTGATACAGAGGTTATTGAAAACGAAAAAATTTCGATTGACAAATTAGTCGGTATTCTCGACACAGCAATTATAGGACTTGAACAGCGGAAATTTGTAACTAAACAAGAAATTATGTCTGTTTAATAGAATTAAAGAGAAAGTATTATCACATGAAACGAAGCAACTTAAACAACTTACATTGAAAGAAATGTTTAATAAAGTAAACAACTAAATATTAAGCATTTCTTTTTTGTAAATTTTGATACCCTTTAGATCATAATTGTTCTTTATTTCATAAATTACGGTTTCATATTTTTAATTTTGTAATTTCTGCATGCCATCTTACCAGATTTAAACTGATGATCTATAATCCGGAAAAATCGATAATAAGGAATCGCCGAAGTCCCGAAGAGTCTGGATTAAGGACTTTTGACTGCATTAATTATTTTAATAGTAATTTAGCACATATTTTTAGTACTAATTAAATTTAATAATTCAAGTATTTATATTAAATTTATATTTAATTAGATATATCTACCTTAGATTAATAATATATTTAGATGAAATAAAGTAATGAAACATTGCAAAATAAATCTTATGCAGACTTCAGATTCTTGGAAGGGCAGATTTATTCTCTTTTCATTCTAAAAGTAACTCTGATGAACTATGAAAAAGATGCTAAAATGACCACGTCTAAAATCGGTCATATCATGACGTTTCAGCTACGTCGGCAAATTGCCAAGATGCAACGGCAAATATTTTGCGTCTTCGCAATGTTGTAAAGATGTCGTAAAAGTTACCATGAACACATTGCAACCTCTCAGACCAGTCGTTACAACGTTGTCGTGCTGCTTGGGTAGTTCTGACTCTGATTTCAAGTATATTGAAGATAGTTATAGCGAAACTGAGGTGTATTTCTCGGATTCCTCTGCAGATAGTGATGAATCTGAAAATTCAGTTTCTATTGAAAAGTTTGACAGTTGTGCAAAATTGATATTCAAAATATTATATTATGCAAATATTTTCATTAGTATATATGTTTTACCTTTATATTTTATAAAATAAATCATAATTTAACCAATACAGTAGAATTCCGGAAATCCGCAAAGCTTGGGACCAGAAGTTGTGCGGATTTTAGGATTTTGCGGATTTCAGGACAGAAAAGATAAAGCATAATATTCAGACTAAAAGTGCAAAATAAATAAGGCATATTAGATACATTTAATTAAATTATTATATACATTATTGCAATAATTTATTATATGCATTAAATTATTATTACATATATA